GCTGAACCGGTCTGCGGGGAGCTGAGGCTGGGGAGGAAGAATGCGGGTCTATTTAATGGTCTTCTGCCTTATTTGCTGCACTGTGAACGGGCAAGTAGTGTATTCCATCGCTGAGGAAACGGAGCGTGGAGCATCTGTTGGGAACATAGCGAAGGATTTAGGAATAGATGCAGCTACACTTTCAGCTCGGAAATTTCGCATGATCACCGGTTCAAGTAAGCAATATTTTAATATAAATGCAAGCACGGGGGCTTTGTCTATTAACGACCCCATAGACAGAGAGCAGCTTTGTGAATTAAAGTCTGCCTGTCTTCTGAATTATGAACTTGTGTTAGAAAACCCTCTAGAGCTTTATAGGATGGAATTTAAAGTCTTGGACATAAATGACAATTCCCCCAGCTTTCCTTTAAGTGAATATCATATAAACGTGCCTGAGTTCCTGTCACCTGGGGCACGGTTTACGCTCCCCAGCGCCCAAGATCTTGATGAAGGTACGAACAGTGTCCAGAATTATACTCTGAGCCCTGACGAACATTTCCATTTGGAAATGCAGACACGCGGGGATGGGAGCAAATATCCTGAATTGGTGCTGAAGAAAGCCCTAGACAGGGAGCAGCAAGCCACTCACAGACTTGTCCTTACAGCAAAAGATGGTGGGGATCCTCCAAAGTCTGGTGATGTCCCAGTCATTGTGACTGTGCTGGACACCAATGACAATGCACCAGAATTTGAACACTCAGTCTACAGGGCGAGTATCTTGGAAAACTCCCCCAGTGGCACTTTGGTAGTGCAAGTGCATGCCACAGACTTGGATGAAGGTCCAAATGGAGATGTCAGGTATTCATTTGTCAATACTACTTCTGCTGATTTACAGCGAATGTTCTCAGTTCATCCTCACACTGGGGAGGTGACAGTCAATGGCATTTTAGCTGTTCAGAGACCTCTCCTTGAGATGCTTATTGAGGCCAGGGACAACGGGGCATTTGGCATGTCCAGCACAGCTAAGCTGCTGGTGGAAATCACTGATGTGAACAATCATGGCCCAGAGATAACAATTACATCCCTTTCCAGTCCCGTTCCTGAGGATGCTGTTCCTGGCACAGTGATAGCTCTGCTGAGTATTATGGATAAGGACCCTGGGGAGAATGGAAAAGTAACCTGCCAGATCCCTGATAACCTTCCCTTCCAGTTGAAGCCTTCCCTTGAAAGCTACTACAGCCTGGTCACCAGTGGGCTTCTGGACCGAGAGCTGATCAGTGGGTACAACATCACCATTACTGCCACAGACTTGGGCTCTCCACCCATCACCACTCAGAAGACCCTTTGGGTGCAGATTTCTGATGTGAATGATAATGCCCCAGTTTTCAGTGCTGACACGTTTGATGTGTTTGTGGAGGAGAACAATCCACTTGGTGCTTTTCTCTACCAGGTCTCAGCATCTGATGCTGATATGGGTGAGAATGGACGGGTCTCTTACATGCTCAGGAATTCCACAGTTGCAGGTAGTGCCCTGGCCAGCCTTTTATCTGTGAGCTTGGCCAATGGGAGCATCTATGCAAAACGTGCCTTTGACTTTGAGCAGCTTAGGAGCTTCTATTTCCAAGTGGAAGCCAAGGACAATGGGTCACCAGCCTTGAGTGCTGCCATAACTGTGAATGTTTACATCTCAGACCAGAATGACAATGCCCCAGCCATCCTGTACCCCACCAGCCAGAATGGCTCAATAGCTGTGGAAGTTGTGCCCCGCCTGGCTGATGAGGGCTACCTGGTGACCAAAATAGTGGCGGATGATGAGGACAATGCACAGAATGCCTGGCTCTCCTATCACCTCACCCAGTCCTCTGACTCCAACCTGTTCCATTTGGCATCGCACTCTGGTGAGCTGCGTACCACACGCTCCATGCGCTCCACTGACTTCCTCAAGCACAAGGTGGTTGTTGTGGTGCAGGACCATGGGGATCCGCCGCTCTCCTCTACTGTGACAGTGGGCATCCTGCTGGCTGACACCCTGCCCCAGGCACTGCCAGACTTTGATGACAGCGGGGAGCCACCGCCACTGCTCAACACTACAAACATCTACTTGATTGTTTCCCTTGCCTGTGTCTCTTGCATCTTTGCAGCGTTCCTCCTCTTTCTTGCCATTGTGCGGCTGTGCCGCTGCCAGACTTGCTGCTGCTGCAGCTGCTGCTGCCCAGCTGATGAGTATACAAAGTATTGCTATAGTGTGCACATGCTTCCCAGCTCCCACCTCCCACCGGACATGCTGGAGGTCACTGGTGTGGGTAAACTGACTCATACCTACTTGTACAGGGCATCTGTAGGTCTTGGGCCTAGTAATGACAGTGTCCCAAATGGTGATGCTGGGAACGTTCCCAGTGGCTCAAGGTTACAAGTGCCAGGACCCTGCATCCAAGTGCAGCAGGTCCAAAGTGATCGGTTGAGTGCTGTCCTTGTGGTAAGTACTTCTTCCTTTTACTTTTTTTTTTTTTTTTCCCAGGGTCAGAGCCTTGCGTCTACACTGGGTTGCTGTCAGTGCAGAAGAAGGTACTGAGGGTATTTGCAGGAGAGCAGGTGTCATTTCATGCCACCTGGAGGAAACTTTAGTTCTTTTTCTCTCTTTCCTAAAGCCAAGATCTCTTTGGGTGAAATACGGTCGTGGGATGACAAAAGATTTTTTTTTTTTTTCCCCACAAACATTTAGGAGCTTCAGACTTAACTGAAGGTAAAGAAGATGTAAGTGAAAACTAAATACCTTGCAAGCTGTGCCATTGTCTTCAGATAGCTAAGTAGGGGCATGGTAAGAGTCCATGCAAGTTTCTAATCCATGGCTGGTTCTCATTTATACTGTAATTATTCCCGTCCCGCCCCCAATCCTGAGATTTTTTCACTGAGGTGTAAGTAGTTTACTGAGCCAAGATGTTGGTTTACAATGCCCAAGGTAAGCCTGTGTTGGCATTACAGGAATTCAACATCTAGCAACTCTTCAGGAAATGTAATTTGTAGTGCTTATCTCTCTTTCCAAGCAATCCATAGATTTTGTGAATCAAAAATAATTCTCATCTGAGCCTCTGAACAAGCTGGTTTCTTGTCAGTGCTGTGATGGGTGACTTTGCAGAAGAAAATATCTTACATGGATTGCAGCGTAGGGCTACAAGGTGGGATATGTCTGCAGGTCTGATCTGCTGGGTGTTGCTGTGTCACTTGTCCAAGCTTCAGTTTTCTTAAATGCAAAATAACACTCATATTTTCAAAAGGTGCTGTGAGTCGTCTTTATATTTTTGTGAAGTTTTGAAATGTTTTGCCTGCTGACTGTCAAATTTCCTTAGTGTGCATAATGGTAACTAACCACTGTTGGTTCTGTCTAGGCCAGTACTCTGTGGTAAAAGCTATTCCAGAAGTTTCTAAGGCAAATGTAAGAACCCATGTTAGACAGGCATGGTATAATCTGCTTCCTGCAGTTGTTTTTATCCTAATTTACAATTAGTAGAGGTTGTCCTAAGTTTGGGACCATTATGTTTATTTTAATCTTTGAAATCATTATTATGCCTTTAAATACATGTAAATGGCCAGCTCCTTTTTGAACCTTGATGTAAAGGTAGATTCAGCAACTTCTTTGCATAATCAAAATGCGTATTCAGCTATATAACACTTCCTTTTATAACTCTTGAATTTCCAAGTAGTGATTTTTAGTAAGTTTTCCCTTGTTCTAGAAAAGACCCCTGATTTGCTCTTAACTATGCAATTAGTTTATCATGCCTTCTCTTATTTATCTGTTGGCAAGGTGAAATAGGTTTGTGGGTTGTGGGTTTTTCTTCCCCTCTCACTGTTTTCTGACCATCTTTTCCACATAAATCTTACTGACAAGGAAATATCTTTTCTGAAATATTTGATACACTCATGATGGTTTACCTAGTATTTATTCAAAGTCATAATCGGTTTTAAGTTCTGTTCTCTGTAGTGGCGGAGGGTTGCACATGTCATGGGTCTCTCACTATGCAAAGTGGGGGTTGGAATAAATCTTGCAAAAGCAGAAGTATCAGTGGTTTTCAGCAAGAAATTGTAGAGTCCAGGAAAATAGCAGTGGCAGTATGCAAAGAAGAATTTGTACCTGATGCATTGGTACAAAAGATGAATATCATTGATTATTTCGAGGATCTGAAAAAAAAAAAGAAAAAAAAAGCTGAGTTAGAACCACTGTAATGGGGAGTTAAAAACCTTTTTGGCAATCTCTTAACTCGGATGTCTGCAAGAACACTGACAGTGTCTTGGGGGCTGATCCTTGGCTGGTGAGTAGTTCAGAACTGCAAAATTTCTATAGCAAAGGTGATATAAAAAAAACCTCTGACACAAGTAATTTTTGTGTTCCTATTGAGCAAGATCTTGAAACTCAAGTTATCAACACATTAATGGACTGAATAATAGTAAAAACGCAAAAGTATCCCTGATCTCTGTAATGAGAACGACCAAAATGTGTCTCATTACATCTCACTATATTCCAGTCTTTCAGATGAATTTTTAAACTTGAAATATGAGACACCTTTTTAGGAGCTTTTGATAGTGAGTAAAATAAATCCTGGATGTCATCTTTGGCAATTTTATTTCCTTAGTTCCTAACATGCAGAGATGGGTAACCATAGATGTGCCCTGTGTGGGAAGTCCAAAGGCTTTGCATTAGTTGAGTTGAGTAGGGAAGCAGAGACAGAGACTGAGAACTCATCTACCCTGAGAAACAAAACGATGCCAGTTATTATTAATTTGGTGCTGATGATTACAGTGGCTAGTATACTGAAGAATCAACTACATATATGTACACACATATATGTGTATGTGTACAATTTACATATTTCTTGCAAAATTTGCAAGTTATTAAATTGCATTCTTATTCAAATAATTGAGGCTGGGCAGAAGCTGTAGTTTCTGTACTTTTATTTCTGTACATGCTTTAGATTCACCAAGATTTAAAATAAAGTATAATTATGTTGGAGTTACTTGGAAAATAGTTTCCAGTCACCTGAGGTAGGAAAGAGAACTGTCACACGTTCTTGAAAACTGTTCCTTAGTCCAAATCCCTGTGGACTTAAATATGATTTTATGCAGAGAGATCACAGTCACTTTATTAGTGAGGAATATTTTTATTCATTTCTTATTAAAATGAGAGGATTATAATTTTTCAGTGTTTGCCAATAGAAATTTCAGTAAAAAATAAAATTTAAGTTTGGGTGTTGACTCAATTTTGTCTTAAAGTGCTTTCAGACTAACTCATTTGGAGTAAAAAATATAAACATAAGTAACCCTTTGAACTTATGAAGAAGGATCATTGTATTGCTTCCTAAGAATATAAATGTAACAAAAAGAAAAGCATCAAGTATTTCAAAGGCACTGGGAGCAATTCCAAAATTGCAATTTTAGCAGAACTTAAATATCCCTGATTAGTTTATTTTTTTAATTGAGGGGGAGATTACAGTATTTGCTATGTGGAAGATAGGGGAAAAAAAAAAAGCCTACATATACCAAAAGTTAATTGAAATTCCAGAAGGTAAATGTGTTTTAAAAATTTAGGTTAACTTCTTTATTCGTGGTCATCTTTTGCTACTGAATTAAATGATAGGCTTGAATGATTTTTACATATGCAGACACGGAAGACCCTTTTGTGCTTCTACACATCTTCTATTTAGGTTAGAGCTAAAAATAGAACTATGTATGGCCATAACAGCAGTATAGTAAACTGTAATTGTGTCTCAGTATTTTGCTGTCTTTCTGCAATGTAGCATAAGTGACAGCGAAGTGAAAAGAACATTACGCTGCTATGCAACTGTGCTGTGGTAGACACAGGCGCTAGTGGGATTACTAAAGTACACAGTAGTTCACTGAGTATTTCTGGGATCGTGATGTGACCATGGATTGTTACAGTTCTTTTGTTTGCTTGTGTTGTTCATTGTGCTATGAAAAAGGCCTGTAAGACATTTCTACATTCAGAGGGTAGTCACCTCTCTGTGGCCTGACATTCAATATTTAGGTTACATCCGAAAATAGACACAAACCTAGCAAAACCTTTCTTGCTAAACTGTAATAGGAGTGAAATCATTTTGCGCAATGTGGCGTGCATTTCCAGTGATAAAAATGGATGCACTTACATTGAGACAGCAGCATGCAATCTAGGCTGAACTGCTGCGGGCTAAGCATCCGTGACTTACTTGCACAAGTAAACACCAGCCATGTGAGCAAGCCCTCCCTGCATCTCGTTCTGATGGGAGCAGCCCCCATGACAGCCCAGTGTAACTGTGAAGCACCTTCCCAATTATTTCTGTGCTGATAACAACCTGCCCAGAACCAGCAGCCTTATGCCCAAATTGTAAAAATTCAGTTATGTAGACAGATTTCTTGGCTACAGAAGTCACTCTTGGGGTCAGGCCAAGAAAATCCTAGAAAGAGTGATGATCAAAGAAAATTCAGCACGGTAGATTGCTGTAGATTTCTCTCTTTCTGACCATGCCAATTGCCTTTTGCAAAGAAAGATGCAGCTCCAGTGTTCAACAAAAGAACACTGTGTCCAGGAAAGGCTACAAATGCCTGGGCTGAAACTTTGCTGAGGTCTACCTTGGAGTATTATTTTCAGAGATAGTGGAGGGGAGGGTGACAGAAGGAGTAGCTTGAGACAAAGGGCTTGAGGGGATGTGACTGTATTTGGAGGTGCATAAGGCAAAGGCAATGATGGGCAGAGAAGAATGAGATTGCATGGTGACCTGGGCTGAGGGAGGATAGATGTGAGTAGTAATTCTTCTATGAAAGCACAGAACAAGAAAACGCAATTTTGATCAAGTCCAGTCCTTTCCTGTATCAACCACCATTTAATCTTAAATCTTCAAATTCAAAATCTAATTTTTAATTGTAAAAATATTAATTTTACTTACAGAATTCACTAAGTTGTGCCCATTATTCCTATTGGAAAGTTATTTCTCTAAGGCTTTGAAACCATTTTTTGACATCCTGTCAACAGTTATTTGCTGTGAATTTGTAGACATTTGTTCTTGTGCCAGCAATGTCCTTTTAGTATAAGTAGTTATTTTCCCTCTTTGGGGCTTGCTTTCTTTGTAGAGAGCAACCACATCTTTTCTCAGGCTCTGTTTGACTAAGCTAAACAAATCAACCTCTTTCAGTCTTTTTTCTAAGGTCACCTCTGCACTTGTCTGATCATGTTAATACCTATGCTCTGTATTTGTTCTTCCTTTGTGGATATATATTTATTGCAAATATGTGACCAGAATTATATATAATATCTCAGACAAAGGGCCTCCTACACAGTGGTAGGAATACTTCCCTGTCCAGGGCATAGAGAATACATCACCTGATATGTCTTAAGATGGCAGTTGCCTTCTTCGTAGTTCTAATATATTGGTTGATCAGTAATGTAAGTGTTATTGCAGAACTTACTTGGGGTAAAGGTGGATGGGGGAAGGTTGGTTCCCAATGTGGTGGTTCTTCTGCCTAGCTTCACCCATCTAAATACTTGATGTTTGAACCTTAGACATTAGAAAGTCATAGCCACCTACTGAGAGCAACTCATTCTGTTCATCTTAAACATAAGAGTTTAGACATAATCTAGACATAGCACTGAGACTGGATGCGCAACTTTTAAATGACTGAAACTAGTTGATATAAGTAGCACCTTATGGGAGTCTGCACTTTGAATTATTACAGGGTATCCATTTCTGTGACAGATGTCAAGTTGTTCCTGCAGCGAATAATGCCATATTGTTGTCTTCCTCAATTGTTGTTAGGGTAACCCAACTTCTGGTGCCATTGTTAAGCTTTTCAGTGGAGAGCTGTATTGAACGTTTTACTGAAATCAGAATAGATGAGGTGAATTTCAGTTTGTGTTTTCATTCAAGAGAATTGAAGACCAGTCTAGCAAATAGTTGTGTTTGATAAATCTATGAGAATTTTCATTCCTTCTCAGCGTACCTTCATTTGTCATTTATTCCTTCCTCCAAATTTTTTTCCAAGCAGGCAGGCTACTGGGATTGTGGTCACATAGGATGGATTTTTATCATCCTAAATTACAGGTACTGTGGTTGCTTTTCTGTAATCTGATCATTCTACTCCAGACTTCACAGGTTTATCTTAAAAAAAGAAAAAAACCCACCAAAAAACCCCACCCCACCCAAACCAAAACAAAACCTCCTCAATACTACACTTTTGTTTGTCAGTTCTTTAAGAAATCTGTGATGGAAATCAGATAATGTGCATTTGAGGATGCTGAAGGATGCCACATTTTACTTCTGCCTTGGTGACAGCAATTTCCTTTCCCTCAGAGTAATTTGTCACATAGTCAACATCACACTCAAGATATTGAAAATAGAGGGGAATATAGATTTATTGTTAT